ATATTATCATCTGTAGCCCCTCTGTTTTTGTTGGATTATCTGTTTTTGATTATCTGGCTTGTCTCTACTCTGATGCTCTGGTCTCTGTTGCTGATTCTCCATTGGACTCTGTTTGTTGGCCTGTTTCTCTTGGCCTCTGTTGGACCTTCTCTTTAAGCCTGACTATTTTGACCAGTCTTGGTTTTTCCACATACAGTATTTCCCTTTCCCTTTCCTCCCTGTGGTTGATACTGACATTCCTACAACAGCCAAAGTCTGATGTTGAGCCTCAAACCAAAGGTGTAGTCATATTGGAAATGACTGGTTCCAATTATATCAAGTCCCCACACAGATTATTTGTATTTATTTTCCATATTAATGCTAGTTAATACTCACTTCAGCTACTTCATGGAATGGCACACTCCCCTCATTCTTCCAGTAAGTCTTGGTATCAAACTCAACACGATACACTCCTGCTGGGAACTGCTGCTCTGTGATCAGATTGTGGATCTCCCCAGTGGCATCCGTCACTCTGTGGGAAGGAACAGTGAAATATGTCTGCATGTTTTGTACAAATACAAAGAATACATATGCTCTATAGAGTAAGAAGATATACTCAACCTTACTGCACAACATACCCGTTAGCAATGTGGGTCCATCCACCATCAGCAGTCTTCTGAGACACCTTTAGTGCCACTGATCCAGCTGGAGACCCTTTCACTGCATCCAGGATTTTAACTGTCAGAGGGCATTTCATGTCTGAGCCGCCATGTCTCTCCTGTGGCACAGAAACAAGCAAGGACTTGCGGTCATCCCCTATGGCTCATTAATAATAATAGTGCATTCAATTTATGTTGTGCCCAAGGACGATTTACATGGTGGAGGAACCAAACAAAACTGAGACAGGTAGCCAAAGGATGGGAGACCGATGGAGAGGCAGAGTTGAGGGAGGTTGTAGGCCGTGGAAAACAGATGGTGCTTGGGAAGTTTTTTGAATGAATCCAAAGATGGGGCATTGCAGATATCTGAGGGGAGGATGTTTCAGTGGGGGAGGGCTGTGACACTGAAGACCCTGTCTCCAAAGGTGCGGAGTCTGGACAGTATGCTAGTGACCAAGGACTGGAGGTTTCAGGACATGGTGTGTAGGTGTACTGTAGGAGGTCAGAGAGGTACTGAGGGGCTAGGACATGGGCGTATATATAAGTGAGGAGGAGTAGTTTGTATTTGATTCTGGATCTAACTGGAAGCCAGTGAAGCTGGATGAGGGTTTGGGAGATGTGCTGCCAGGGCTTGATGCAGGTGAGGACTCTGGCAGCAGAGTTTTGGATGTTTTGGAGCCTGTCTAAGGCTTTTGGTCACACTTATAGGATCCATCTCCACACATATGACCAACAGTGAAGCATAGAGCTTACAAATGTTTCCCCTACATGTATTCTTATATTTTCTTGTAGTAATACTAAATAGGATCTCTGGTGAGATTGGGAGAGCGTTACAAGACCATGAAGCAGTATACAAGATATTTGGTCAACATTATGGTCCCTCTCTTCCAAAAAGAGGATCTTATTGGTTCATTAAAACTCACAATTTCAAGCCAAGCACGCACCTTCCAGTTGTGCCTTTTATTCAGTTTCATGTGTTTATCATTGTGTTCTCAGATCAGTGAGTTCATTGAGCATAATCTGTAGAGAGCAGAGAGTGCACTTAACAGGTAAGGTCACTGAACTAATTTCTGCTCCACATATTGATTTCTTCTACTGAACTGTGTGTGTTTTCACGGGAGTTTCCCCCTTTTTTCAGTTTAGTCAGTATGCATTAGTTAATATTGTTAAAATTACGTACCTGTTGTTTTCTGTAGAAATCCCCAAAGTGTGTTCAGGTGTATCATATTTACCTGAACATTCAGCTACAGGAAAGCATCTTTGGGGAAAAAATGTCCAGAGTGGCTACACAAAATACCAGTAGGGGGACATTACACATCAAAACTTGAAGTGTGTCATAATGACCTGGGTTGACTTTGTGCAATGATTGTCAGACCCAGTCTAATATTCCTCCAGGGACTCGAAGAGTATGCAATGTTGATTTTATGATGACCATCTAACATTAAAGAGGAGCAAGTTCAATCATGAAGAAATATGTCCTAAAAGATGAGATGAGAAATCCAATTAAATGGAGCTCATCCATCATTTCACATAAAGTATACAGGCATAAACTCCAGGACATGGTCATTGAAAGATCTACATGAGCAATTGTCAATTGTTTTTTTTTAAAAGGTAAAGTTTAGTAACAATTCTCCAAATTAGCAGCTACAGACTGAGCATCACATTTGTCTAAAAGTATTGTTAGTGAAAGACACTGACCGTAGGGACGGAGTTGCAGAGCAGCACAGAAGAAGCTAGAAGAAGCAGAAAGTACAGTAGTTGATGCATGGTCCCCTGATGGATAGAAAGACTGACAGATGTCACTGGTGTTATCACACATGATCGCAACAGCTCCAGGCCTCTTATAAAGGCTGCTGTCCTTCCCTCTGCTGCTCCTCAGCCAGCACGCTGCCAGCTCATGAATCACGTCAATACCTGGACAATGAATAACTGAGGCTATTTCAGGTCTGGGGCAACAGCTTTACAAGAACTAAAATTTGTTTAATCAAATGGCATTAATGTGTTTAAGAAAAGCATAAAAAACAATGTCACTGAAATTAGAACATGCAAGAAGTTATAAGTGTTAATCTTGGGTGAAACTACTGAAAGATATCTGGATTCTGATGGTAAGACTGAACTAGACACTTAACTGTAAAAATCCAGGTTGATTTTTCATTTAGATTGTATGTTTTTGCATGATTTTGTTTGGTGTCTTCTTTTTTAAGGCAGGGTTTGTTAAGATTTTGGTTGAAATTGTCTTTAGGTCCTGACAGAAATTAATAACTCATGTGCTCTGAAGAAGGAATGAAGGCAATCTGCTATCTGTAGCAGTTGTAAGCCTGTAAAAACTTCCACCAATGTCTGCGATGAGGTACCAATCTGATGAACCCTTCACACGCCTTCCTGTCTCCCTGCTCGTTCTCCACCCCTTACGTGCACTAGCCCACACTCAAAGCGCGCCTCCGATGACGGAGTTTATACTGTGAGTTTGTCGTTCTACACAATGCAAGCCATGAGCTGAGGTCCGCTTCTGGAGCAACGGCGCTCGTGTATGTAAGTGAGGGGCGAGGCATTTGAGGAACACAGAGGGGAGGGGTTGTGTGTAGGCGGAGCACTGAGGGAATGCAACTTTCAAAATCAAGCTATTTTTTTTTTTATTTACAAACCCGGCCTTTAAGTGAAGCACTTCAAGTAACTTTTTAGTACTGCTGTGTGATGGTAAGGCTGCACAGTGGTGCAGTGGTTAGCGCTGTTGCCTCACAGCAAGAAGGTTCCTGGTTCAAACCCCGTCGGACAGGAGCCTTTCTGTGTGGAGTTTACATGTTCTCCCCTGCCTGCGTGGTTCTCTTCGGGTACTCCAGCTTCCTCCCACAGTCCAAAGACATGCCCATTAGGTTAGTTGGTGACTTGTAATTGCCCGTAGGTGTGAATGTGAGTGTGGCTAGTTGTCTCTCTCTATATGAGAAAAGGAAAAGCAGCCTAGATAAAGGATGGATGTATGCTGTTGGTAGGTTTGGAATTGGGACAACTTCACCTTGCTACACCAGAAGATGGTGTAGCAATCTTAGAAACTCTACGCACTGACCCCAATATTATGATCTTTACACCTCCCCCATGTGTTTACAGAAGGAAGAATGAATATGTAGATTCAGTTTGTTTACAAAAGAGTTTGTTCAGGCTCCACATATCCCATAATGCACTGCGACTTCACAGGTAAATGTTTAGAATGTACATACCAGATAAACCAGATTAAATATTCTGTAGTGTGTTTACTTTACATGCAGCTCTTGAAGGGTAAATTAAATTACAGTCTGACTGCTGTCGTGTACGTCTGTAGACCAGACCTCAGAGGAAGACAATCTGCCTTGAAATATAAAAGCACTGAACATTTAAATCTTGCTGCCAGTGCATATTTACCCTCACATGACAGAAGTAGCTGTATGCTGTATGCTGGAGATGGTTTTCAGATAGTAGAATGCACATTTGGTGTTTGTTATGATGTGTGACTGAAATGATTGGGTGGAGTCCAGAATGACACCCAGGTGGGGAATGCTGTGTGCCTTGTGTGTTTTGAACCTGCAGCATCCCACCTTGGCATTGAGGATATGCATTGCCTAAGTAATAAACAAATAGAATGCCCTATTAATTAAAATCTGTGTAAAGGCTTCCAAACAAAGTTACATGTAAGAGAACTCCCCCTTACTTATCTCTTTATGTAAATTACATTTCAAGAAGAAAATTACTTCACAAGATGTTTATACTACAATGTTAACTTTAGCAATCTCCTGGCATTTCTACATATACATTTTAAAGGTCACATATTCTCCTCCTTTTCAACCAGTTTAATTAAGTCTCAGAGCTCCCCAAAACAAGTCTGTGAAGTTTCTTGTTTCAATTAACTAACCAATGACTCATCATGCTGATATGGTGTGATCATCTTAAAGCTGGATGCATTTACAAATTAAAATGGCATATAAGCTCAATATAAGACATCCAACCATGGTAGATTTGTATTTACCTCTTTTCGCTCTCAGTCATAAATGGTGCTGAACAACAGGTTCGACAGGTGTCATCCTCACACTGCTGTAGCAGCACACAGATCAGATGTGAACGTGGAAGCTGTGAACAGGTGGAAATTATTTTGTTATTACATTCACGATATTCATGCCGATGTGTTTTTAACGCCCTGTGTTAATGCAAATGCAGGTGTTAGCGTGACACTGCAGTGTAAGCAATCACATCTCATTGCCTCTGGGCAGGACGGATCAGATTCCTCAGTGACATGAGAACAAGACACCGCAAACCGTCTCAACGATGAGTCTAAGTAAACACACAAGTCAAAAAAAGAAAAAGCAACTCTTACAACAATGAACTGTTCGTTAATTTCTTACTCAGATGCATTATTTTACAAGTTAACTGACTCATATGTTGTTCCAAAAGATTAGTTAGAATTGTAAGTAAAATGTTCATGAGGTTGTTTGCATTAAAGATGTTTTTTCAGTCTTCTCTGATGTTGTCATTTTCCTCGTTTCTGTTCCATTAGTCACTTCATCTTCTTTACTATTGTTCTAATAAGTCCAAACATCACTTCTACAGTCTGGACAAGGAATAAAATCATCACCATCGATGTTATAGAGCTGAAATTAGAAACTATAATTGCTGTGTGATTGCGTCAATATGCAACTGACAAGCTTTAAATTGAATTTTAAAAAATCAAACTTTGTTAAATACACAGGATGTAAATTCCACCACAAGGGTCTCAAAATCAAAACAATAACAAAAGATGACATTGAGGCTGGTAGGGAATCATGGGAGTGATTCTCTCTGCTACTCCCCGCCCCACCCCCGATGAAAACAAACTCCGAGTTGACCATAGTCAATACGAACGGGCGAAACCGACCTCAGGAAGAGAATATGTTTAACAGCGAGCTAACGTATCCAAGTGTAATTTACACAACATTTTCATCACAGCAGCACAAACAGTAACAATACGGCAGCTTTGAGTAGCAGTTCCAGCTTCCTTATGCAGCGCCATTTGGCGTAACATCTGATGTTTTCATGGCGACGGTAAACATGTTGTGTCTGTCATGGGAGACAAGATGCGTCCCGTTACAAATATTAAATGAAGGATTTCTCTGGCTTTGATAACTGTTGGGATAATATTTTAGGTAATTTAAGTACTCAACCAAAAAATATATAACATAGGTTTAGTCCATTTCTAATAAATTTACATATTTTAGTGTCAAATTCTAATACAAATTGACATATTGTACCTTGAAGTTGAGATTAAATTGAACTCAGAAAGACTTAAATCTTCACTTAGGCTCAACTCAAATGGAGATTTTGTTCCATTTATAAAATGAACAATAAATGAGTGTTGCGAGAGGCTTTTCTGCTTCTGTCTGGTGAGTAGCTTTCTCGTAGTAGCGCTGCTTTAGGGTCACTTAGACTGCATTTCAAAGATCTTCACAGTGGCTCTGTTTGAATGGTAAAAACTTTATTCAGCTCATAGACTGGCTGGTCCTGGTATATTCATAAAAATAAAAAAAAAGTGCAGAAATCCAGAAAATAAAGAATAGAAAGAAAACTACATCTTCATTAACATGTAAAAATACAAAGAGCATGCTCACTGTACACAACACTCTGAATACAACATTTCAGCTTCATATAAAAGGAGTTGTGTCCTTTATACTGTTTTTTTTTTCAGTAATGGTAATGATTTCAATCCGACATTCAGGAACAGACATGCATATTCATAAATCGAGAACAGGTCCTCGAGCTCATCTATAAACTAATTAAACATGTTCTGTCAAGTGCTGATTTATATAATTCAGTAGGAAAAAAAACTTGAGAAGAAACATGTCTTCATAAATCAAAATACACACACTCTGTTACATGGATAAATGAGCAAGACAGAAGGAGCTGACCCAACACCAAAATTCAACATGCTATATTTAAATCATTGTTGTAGAACAGGTGTTGTTTCTATTTCAATCACACACACTTTTTATTCAATTGTAAAAACTTGATCTCTTCAATGATTTATGACATTTGATCCCAATATTCCAAAATGTAAGACAGAACCAGTAAACTTTTTGAAAGCAGAACTAATACATGCAGTCTGTGTATGAGTTGAAATAAGTTACTGATCAAAAAGTATCTTTTTTTTTGTTTATTAGCATGCTAATTAGTAGCATACTGGCTGCTTGTTAGTCATTATCAAGCTCTTATTAGGACCTTTTTCTACATGACCATAGTCTATATCTAATTGGCCTTTAAACTAAGAGTTTACCCTCCTAATTACTGCTGACCCCAAACAGGAATAGCGTTATAGATAATATGTATTGACCAGTCAATAATATAAAGAACACATTGAGGACTTCCTTTTTTGGTAAACGGTGTACTTGATGATGGTCTAAATAAAACTTCAAAATGTCTTTACATGCATAATTGGACAGCTTTCCTAGCCATTTTGCCAAAATGTGATCTCATTAAACATCAACATTTCACAACACTGCTGCAGAACCCGGGCTTACCACCTTCAAATTATACACCGTGAGTAACTGTATAGTTGTTTGGTTAGCTTTAAATCTAGAGTAATCACTGCTGCTTACACTTTCCAGACGAGCTTTTGGGACTTTGAAGACTCTTGCTGGACTCCTTTTTGCTCTTTTTGGATTTCTTCTTAGTAGTTTGGCTGATGACTTCCTGAGGCTGTACAGGACTCACTTGACCACTAGCTGCTTCAGCACCAAGCACGTTATCAGCTACTTTTGACACAACTTCCATCAACTCAGTTTCCTCCAAAGTATTTGGCACGACCCCTGCCGCTTCTACAGTGATGTTCATGCTCTCGCTCTCAACTAGGGAATCAGCCTCAGCTACCTCACCTGCTGCCATCAAACTTGTGGCTTCTTTCCCTTCTGAGCCTGAGTTTGTTTCCAACGCCATAGCTGTGGTTTCATCCACTTCAATACTCTCTGAATCTGTTGGCAACACCTGACCTAATGTTTCATCTACTACCTCTCCAACCGCAAATTCATAAATGACCTCTTCTTTGCCTTTTTCCAAATCAGCATTCCCACCTTCAGTCTGTTCCGTTTTAATAATGTCTGTTTCTTGGTTTTCAGGATAAGCCGTTTCACCTTCAGCTACTTGACCAGATGAGAATATTGTACTACTGGCCCCTTGATCTTCCCTGGACATAGACACCTGGCCTGTGGCCACCTTGGATGAACTGAAATCCTCTGGAGATGTGGCATCCTCCAAATCAGTACCAATCACTAAATCTTGACTGACATTCTCTTGTCCCTCTGGATCATCTAAAGTTGTGTCTTCCTCTGAAGAGCCTACCCCTTGATTTGCTTGATTAGTCACATCACAAGCCATTTGTACGATTTCAGCCACATACGATGTTCCTGCCTCTTGATTCAACTCCAGATGTAGACTTGCTAAATAAGAATCTTCCTCAGGGAAACCTTCAGTCACTAAAGACTGAGATTCCTCTTCCAATTCCTGGTAAGGCTTTGTGACTTCTTCCCCTAAGTCAGAACTTGTGTCTGCAGTGTCTAATTTTGCACATTCAACATCTTGGTCCTTTGGAGCACTTGTATTTGTCTGTAAAGTTGACGAAACAATATACTCCTCATTTTCTCCTACATTGTTTTCTGAGGACATGAGCTCATCCTGCGACTGCAGTAAGGATGGTTCCTCTTGTGCTTGTATGTTTCCATCATGAACACTTTCATCTGAAATGATCTCATTAGTCACGGCTGAAATAGTGTCACAAACATCTTCATCTCCATCTGAGATGCTAGTAATTTGGGGATCAGCTAACACATCTTCCTCCAGACTATCCTTGACCTTTTCTTTGTCTTCTATGTCTTCCTCTGAGACAAGCTGATCCTCCATTTGGGAATTCACTCTTTCTACATCTTCTCTACCAATCTCTTGACCAAGAGATGGCTGTACAGGAGATGTCAATTCCTCCAAAATATCTTCCTCTTTCACTTCAGTATTTAAACGGCAATCTTCGACGAGTTGTTCATCTGAGGTGCTCTCTGGGGCAGCTCCGTTTTCAATGTTGTAATCTTGGTTGTCTGGTAACGCAGATAACCCCTCTTTCTCTATAAGATTTATTTTATCTGAGATCAAGGATGCATAGACTTGAGGACTCATTCGGATTGCATCTTCTTTTACAGTGTCTTCAGCTTTGTTATCTGAAAGGTTTAGATCTTGTTGTCCTACAGATGCTATTTCCTCTACAACATCATCCTGTTCCTCCCCTTCAGTTGTGTTGTCATCTGAGATAAACTTTTCCTCCATTTGAGAACTTGTGCTTAATGTGTCTTGCCTTTCAATGTCTTCATCTGAGTTGCTTAAACTTTGCCCTGACTCTTCTTTCTCCACAGTTGTCTCCTTTGTCTCTCCACTACTTGAACTGTCTGCACCTATATTGATTTGTTCCATGTCTACCTCAGATGTTATATTTGGTTGCTTATCATCTTCTTCGTTGCCAGAGCTGCTGTCTTCCACTGTATGCAGATGTTCCTCCAAATCTGAATCATTGATGCTTTCTACTTGTTCTTCTAGAATAACTTCTTCAGACACTGCTGCCAACTTTAGATTACTCAGATCTCCAACTTCTTGATCTGCAAGAAATGTGCTAACAGTTTGCAATGTAATTATTTCTTCAACCTCAACAATATCTGCACTGGCATTGCCTTCATCTATCTTATTCTTCACACTATTATCCTCTTGTGGTTCTGGCATGCCTTCATGCTCACTTATGGACCTCTCCTCAGACTCTGTTATAATCTCATTTTGAAGTCTTGCTGACAATTCATTACTCACTTTGTTGATTTCCTCTTCAGATTCTGACACTTGCTCCAGCTCAGAACTATCCTCTTTGGGTATATCACTGGTGGCAGCAACAATTTCCTTGACGTTCTCTTCTTCATGGATACTAGCAGAAGTGACAACAACCTGATTGATTTCTGAGTCCAAGACGACTTGAATAGCTGTACTGGAATCCTCCTCTGGATCCTCTTTGACTTCATTTGATTGAGGTTCTGATCCAACTTCAGAACTTCTGTCCTCAGCGCCATCAGCGGTACTGAAATGAAGAGCTTTACCTTCTTCTTTCACTGGTTCTTCTTCTACAATGTTGCTTTCGTCCAAAGTTGAAGTTTCTATCTCTTCCTGAGGAAACACTTGTCCCTCTTCATTCTCTTTGTCTGGATTGATTGAATGAGTAACATCTGATGCAGGTAGGGGAGCTTCAGTGGAAGTAATCGAAATGACCATGGATACATCTTCCTTGGAAACATTTTCAGAGGGAATGTGATTTTCTTGCTGTTCTGACTGTGGAACCTCAGCTTCTATCTCTGCAATCTCTTGTGGGTCGTTTGATTCTGGCACTTCACTAATTTCAATCAGTTCATCAGGCATAGTTCGGTCCAATGTATCGCCTGGTATCTCAAGCTCTGTGGAATAGTTTATCACATATTCTGATGGATTTTCTTCATCTTTATCAACATGCATGCTCTGAGCTAGGTTAATGTCAGGCAATTTTTTCATCACAACCTCTTCCATTGAAGGCAAATGAGTTTTAGGGGTTTCAGCTGTAATGCTGACGGTATTTATAACATTAATCGAGTTGCTTTTCTGAGATGAAGACACACTTTGTCCCAATGGAGGAATTCCTTGAAACTGGTTCATACTCTGCTGCTTTATCCCAACTGGATTGATCCCAGCTGGCCCCATTCTGTCCTGTCTAATGTCTGGCTTCACTGCCACCCCGTGTCCCATTACCATTCCTGGCTGCCCAACTCCAACTCCCAAAACAGTTACAGGCCCTAATCCCATGTGTCCTGGCTGCCCAACCCATGTTTGCCCCAAATTTATATTTTTTGAAACAACACCCCCCTTTGTAGCAACAGTGTGTCCTGGCAGAATGCCAAACACACTCCCTTGGGCTGCTGGGCCTAACACCCCCTGAGGGGGAGCAGCCTCTTTTACCAGGATAGCACCTCTGGGCAAATTACCCTGAGGTGAGCCTGGGTCCACCCTACCTGGCTCGACTGGACTACTCTTTTCCTGAACTAGTATATAATTACCATCAGGCTTTGGCCCAATTATTTTCCAGCCATCCCTGGGGACCGAGCCCTGAGACACACCTGGGCCAACAGGTAGCAACAGGGGGCTTACTGGGCTGCCTGGGCTGGTAGGTGTCTTGGGGCTCTCAATGCCTTGGATTACAAATCCAGAAGACGGGCTCTGGGAACCCCCAACTACATACAGGCCTGGAAAATTGGCCCCTTGAGTCCCATCTGCCAACAGAACAGTGTTCTGTAGCTGTGGTTGAACTACATAGTGCATGGGCTGCATTACAGGGCGTGTAGTGTAGTAAAGTGGCTGCTGCTGTAGTATTACTGTCTGAGCTGGACGGGGCAGAGTAGCAGAGTGTATAATGTTAGAGGAATGGCTGATGTTAGTAACCTTAGACTGGGGAAAGGCAGTGCTTATATTACTTGCAGATGATTTAGAGATGTTGGTAGATGACATGACTTCCTCTGTTTTTATGTCTGTCTGCTTTGTCTCCATTTTGGACTTAACAACTGGTTCATCGTATTTAACTGTGGTCTTGACAGCTCTTGCTACTTTTCTTGTCAGTTTGGGTGTTGGTGTAGGAGGGGAACAGATCTCAGCCAGAGTCTTGAACTTTGGGCCAAGGTCATTAAGGAACTGCAGGTTGTTGTCAGACTCCAGGAGGCTGCAGCAACCCACAGAGCCAGCAGTGGAGCCACAGCCCTCGTAATCGTACTCCAGCAGACTGTCCATCACTTGTACAGCACAGTCGGCTTTCTATGTGGGGCAAATAAATATTAAAAGTATTAAAATATGTTGGAAAAATGTATATTAATATTTGTTAAGACTGGTACAATTAAATGACTACAAAGTAAATGTAGTACCTGTGAGAAGTAGTCATTCAGAAAAGCATTTGGTAGAGCTATATCCTCATACAGAGACGTTTGCTGTTGGACACGAAGTGGTTGCATGCTGCTGCCGTAGCCTTGGTTGAATGATTGTCTTGAAAACTTGTAAGAATTGTCGACCTGCATCAAACTTTGGGTTGTTTCCTGAAAATTCTGCAAAGATTCTCTGTACTTTGCATTTGTCTGATGATTTTTTATGACTTTTGAAGGGATTTTTGGAGCAGCGTTGAAGTTTGACGGTGCTGCTGCTGAAACCATGCTGGTCATCAAAACAGGGACACTTTGAAGTGGCACTTCCTAAAAAAATAAAAGGATACATTTAAAATAATTTATTAAATTGTCAACACAAAATGTAATATATTTGACTAACCAGGGAAACATATGAGTCACATTAGACTAATGGTGCGTTCCGTTTGATCATCAGGAACGCACCCCTGAAGTCGGAATTCCGACTTAGAAACTCAGGGAACCTTCAGTAACCCAAGTTAAAATCCAACATGGCTGCTACATGTATCAACATTAACGTTTAAGCTGTAACTATTGTGTTTATCAGCAACATACTTCTCTTTTTTGTGTAATTAAATCAATCACACCTATAGCACTGGCAAGTTCTAACTGTGGTCATGTTGTCATGTTATTTGTGGCATAAACTATCATGCAGTGTGTTGTTATCGCCTGGTATTAGCTAACAAAACAAAGGTATTCCAGGAGGTGTCCATGTTGCTAGTCCAACTTGCAACTGGAATGCGGTTAACCAAGGTGTGACGCCATTCCCAACTCAGAGATCCGAGTTCAACACACCATTGGGGCGCCGGTGGCGCATTGATTAGTGTGCGTGCCCCATGTATGGAAGCTGTAGTCTTCCAAGTGGGCAGCCCAGGTTCCAGTCTGACCTGTGGCTCCTTTCCTGCATGTCATTCCCCACTCTCTGTTTCCCTGATTCCTGATTTTCACTGTCCTATCTCACAAAAAAAGGCCCAAAAAGCCCAAATATATATATATATATATATATATATATATATATATATATATATATATGGCAAGCCGTTTAGGAAATTAATATATTGAATGAAACTTTGAATATATTGAATGAAACTTTGAATATATTGAATGAAACTTTGAATACATGGAATGAAACTTTGACTATATTGAATGAAACTTTGAATATATTGAACAAAGTCTGAATATATTGAATGAAGTCTGAATATATTGAATGAAACTTTGAATATATGGAATGAAACTTTGAATATATTGAATGAAACTTTGAATATATTGAATGAAACTTTAAATATATGGAATGAAACTTTGAATATATTGAATGAAACTTTGAATATATGGAATGAAACTTTGAATATATTGAATGAAGTCTGAATATATTGAACGAAGTCTGAATATGTTGAACGAAGTCTGAATATATTAAATGAAACTTTGAATATATTGAATGAAACTTTGACTATATTGAATGAAACTTTGAATATATGGAATGAAACTTTGAATATATTGAATGAAACTTTGAATATATTGAATGAAACTTTGAATATAGTGAATGAAACTTTGAATATATTGAATGAAACTTTGAATATATTGAATGAAACTTTGAATATATGGAATGAAACTTTGAATATATTGAATGAAGTCTGAATCCATTGGATTTGTTGTATTTGCAAATCAGAATAAGATATGTGAGACATCCTTCTCAAAATGTCAACCAACCTTATCCTCGCCTTTGCCTTCGGTGTGGTAGGATATGAGATGTTCTTTGACGTCAAATGGCAGATCACTAAATTGGTCAGGGAAAACAGTGTCCGCTCCTCCACACTGACAGAACAGCAGAAGAAGAGGTATGACTGCAGAGAGAAGCACAACATCAGCGTAAAGCAGGTTTATAACCCTCAGAGTTGGGTTGCAAAATGAACCTTTGAGAGCCTTTCAATGTTAAATAAATGTATAGTCAGAAGGGTGTCAGAACTGTATGAACTGAACAGAATGTTTTGACTAAATGCTATACTAATTGTTGAACTGCTACTTTTGACAAGAAGTTAATACAGCCACAGCTTTTCTTTCACCTTAATTTGTTAGGGTCTTAACTGGCTTACAAAAGTATAGAACAACAATTTTTCAGGACAGATCTAAATAATGCTGCTGTATTGACTTAAAAAACATGATTAATATTTATTACGCAAATTAATGCAGCAACAACTTGATGTCAGCTATTCAATTAAATATCTGTGCATGCTTGTCAGGGTAGCTGGATATTATGTTGATCTTGAACAACTTTAAGTAAGCCAGCAGCTTTATAACTCCGGAATCAAGCAATTCAAACATGTTGTTTTTATGATGTGAAAAAAAAGTTTACTAATGTACTTAAAAAAGCTTAACTCACACAGCAGTAAGCACAGGGCCATTAGCAGCAGTCCAATGGCTGGGGCAGAGAGCTCAGATCTAGTACTTGCTTGTCGAGCTGACTTTGGAGCACAGTGCTTTGTCTCCCCACAGGTACAAACATCCACTGTAAAAACCTCGTGTTCTGGGCAGGACAGGCCCTGAGCATCCAACACCTCCACCTGCAGCGCATATTGTCCAGGCCAAAGCGCCTCACTTGTGTGAAGAGCAGCAGTTGTGTCTAGAAAAAATAGAAAAGAAAGGACTGTTTAAACCCCTACTGCACAAAGATGAATGCAATTACTGTCACCGTGAATATTACAAGTATTAGTAAGTCAGATCAGTTATGTCGCCACAAAAGAAAGTCGGTTTTTGTATAAGCACCCTACAAAAAACGTTTGACTCACCATTGATGACTTCTACTTCCCACTTGCCATTCGTCCCCTCAGTTATGATTCTGAATGTGAATGGAGCACCATTGGGGCTGACATCTTCATCAAAGCCAGTTACATAAACAGTTTTTACATCAGTGCACAGATGGTTGTAGGTGGTGGTCAGGGTGGGACAGTGGTCGTTGGAGTCAGTGACTTCAATGGCTATTGTTCCTGTGGCTGTCTTCGCTGGCATGTCTGAAGGAAATAATAACTCAGTCAGGGCGCACTCACACTAGGCAAAGTTGTCCGGTATCGATTGTCACCCCTTCCCATTACCCTTCTGGCCTGCACTCACACTGCTCCAGGACTAACCAGACCTAAGCACAGTTACCTCTTGTACATAACGTTGTAATACATCACATGCATGTTTTATTTTACATAAATATGAAGCGTGCTGAGTTAACAAGACAGACGGACTTGAGGAAAAAAAAAAGGGATGCACGGTCGAGTGCGTACATCAGAGAACAGCACAGAGAACATGACAGCTACTTTTATGACTTTGTGGCTTATTTTCAGTCATTTTAGTCAGATACAGCCAGAACACTCATAATGATGGTTGTCCACGTTGTGTTCCCGTGCTTGTGTTCTTGCATGAACTGTACTGTGCCGAAGCACACCTATTCAAAATGTGCCAGGGCCAAGGAAGTATACCATGCTTGAGCACAGATTGGCGCACTCACACTAGTCAAACTAACTGGACTGTGGGGTTGAAGCGTGCTTAGACACGGTACAGATAGCCCAGTGTGAGTTCGCCCTAAGTCAAGCAGCACACAAGTTGTAAGGTACATCACAATCCACTTTGTAATGAGGAGAACTAGTCATTTATGAAGACCTGTGTCCTACGATGTCTTTTTACTACATGAAAAATAAGTTTGAATATTAGCCACTCCAAATGAACTATTGAGTATTCTTCACAAGCAAATATGTTTCACAACTTTAGCTTTAACTTCCTCAACTTACACTGTGTTTTTCTGGTTGAGTGTTTCAAACTCATAAACTACAGGGAGGACTGTTAAAACATGCAGACGATGTATATTATGTTACCCACAGGCTTCTTCTGATCGTATACGTATATGACACACCTTGAGACCCAAAGTGGTTTGGCAGGTTCAGTCAGAGATCAACGTACTTCATTTTGTAAATGGCCTCTGGCAAATATGCTTATGAACTGCTCATGTGTCTCATAAACATCAAGGTGATAAATCATGTGCAGATTAAAGCTTTTCATTGATTAAAAAACTCCCTCCCCATATTTGTCAAAGGTAAAATAAATGAAACCTTTTTGTTTACATTCAACCTGCAGTTTAATAAAGGATAAATTATCTCACCTTTTGTTATGGCCAGAATCTTGGCAATGTAGGTACCATTAACCAAGAAGGGTGACTCTCGGTCTGGTGCCTTGATGAGTTTAATCTCAGCGGTTTCTTCATCAATGGTAAACCAGTTATCTGGATCATAGGCTTTGGCATAACTGTTGCACAACAAGTATGTAAGACAAGAACCAAAAGAACATGATGGTAAGACACAACAAGTAATCCTTGAACAATTTTGGTAAACAGTTTGGCTGGCTCTAAACCAAGTGGACACTGAAATTGATGCCAATGCAGAAGTGAAAAAAACTGCAGTCCCTTGAATGTGTCCACTTGAGGCTGGTAGCAAAAGCCAGGGAATCTCCTTCATGTCCATATTAAAATGCCCATTTTCAGAAATAAACATGTTGTTAATTATTTTAACTATTGGGGGTGTGGTCGAGTTGAGAGATGGATTGCCCTACCAACTGCCCTATAGTGAATGAGAATGATGTAGCAGTTCTCTGTGTTTAAGCTATTAATTTTCTTGATTAAGCTACATATTTTATAGCACCGATTATTGGGTTAACATGTTTTTATTATCCTCACAAGGTAACATTTTAATTTATGCAGTATTTTGTTTGGGAAGAAATGTTAACTGGAGCTGGACCAACCTGACGTCCTCTGCAGTTTTTCCCGTGTCGGGATCGACAGCCGCGAACACTGTGAGGACACCATCCTCAGGAGCATCCTTTGGATCTTCTGATACAGGAACTTTCTTGGTGTCAGGTATAAAAGCCGGACCCTCTGGCACATTGTTCACTGCTATCTTAATGGGATAGCTTTTTGCAGGTGCGTCTGGCTTTGGCTTTGGCTTTTTCCCTGGACCTGGTTTTACACCTGGTTTAAGTCCAACACCCACTCCAGGCTTAAGTCCTGCATCCACCCCTACATCTACCCCTACATCCACCCCTACATCTGCCCCTGCATCTACCCCTACATCTACCCCTACATCCAGCCCCAAATCTGCTCCCCCATCAGCCCCTGCATCGACACCAACTCCTACACCAACTCCAGCTCCAGCTCCAGCTCCAGCTCCAGCACCAGCACCAGCACCAGCACCAGCACCAGCACCAGCCCCGCCACCCTCTCCGACCTGAACTTCCACGTCCATCAGTAGAGCTTTGCCTTTCACAAAAGGAGCAACGTTCAGAATTTCCAGGCCAAGCTCAAGATTCTGGACTTCTTCAAAATCCAACGGCTTTTGAAAATATAATTGCGAGAAGAGCAAACAGAAAACAAATGTTAAGGACTCCTCCGACAATAGTTACAGTCATTAAATAAAATAAAATAAAAATGATAATCCCATCAGAATTGTTTGTATACCTTGATAAGCTTCAGGATGCCCTCATTGGTTTCTTTGTCCGTCTCAATGGAGAAGATATTATCCTCATTTCCTTTGGCAATTTTAAAGACAGTGAGCCAGTTGTCCGTGTGATGAAGGTCGTCGTCCAGAGCTTTGATCTTCATCACAATTACATCGGCAACATTTTCATCCACTGAGCCAGCATACTGCAGACAGAAAAGGAGTCGATACCTTTCATTTGTCTAACAAAGACCACTCAAGCCATACCTCTGGAGGAAATCATCTACTTGTTAGTCCTGTGATGTCACTGGCGCTTATTATTCTTAAAGTACCTTACAACAGATTGTTTTCAGTTTCAGTGGAACCTATGGAGTACCAACTGATCCTAATAGTTATAATACAATTTTACTTTATTTTATTACATCCCATGGACTGTAGCATCCCCTTCCATTAACTTCTTTAGTGGAAATGAGTGACAGGTGTAATGGCCCGCCCCCTTGATTTGCTTATCATTTGGGCAAAATGCAGTCAGGGCACAGCCACCGACTTTTGACCAAAGAAGACACAGCTTAGCATTACAGAATGAAGACATGCTAAGAAGCTTTGCATCTCTCAACTTAAGAAACAACTTGGGTTGGGAACTGGAGGGTGCAGACCAAATCTGGAAATTGGTCTGGTAGCTTGAGAGGTGCCACATCACTTCCTGAGCACTTCCGAAGTGCCCTTGAGCTAGACACCGAACCCCCTATCCACTCACTGTGGGCAGGCCGGGTTCACCTTTGCTTATAAACGCCTGGAATGTTGTTGTCCATGTTACCTCACTCACACCTGACTGACACTGTTATAGTTGAACCTTTGGAAGGGATCTAAACGGACACCCTGTCTTTATTTAAATGGTAACTTGAGCTTGTATAACCCCTTTCTAGTCTTCTGACTACTGAAAGCGCTTTTTCACCGGAGGTCATACCTACACATTCACACACGGATGATCATCAGAAATGAATAATCCCATTCATGCACATTTATTCACTGCCGACAAAGCAGCGGGAGCAATTTAGGGTTTAGTGTCTTGCCCAAGGACACATCAGACATAGCTGCAGGAGTTGGGGATCGAGCCCCTGACCCTCCGGTTAAGAGATTTGGACTCTACCACTGAGCCACAGCCACCAATGCTCACCCAGAAGCTAAAAAGAGAAAATGGGGGGAAAATGCAAGCAAAATATGAAAACAGTGTGTGTGTCACCTCAGTTTTCTCCAGAGTGGGGATGTTGTCATTGATGTCCATGACCTTGACCTCCACATTTCCTGTCCCTGTTAGTCCATTTTTGGCCCCTGCCATATCAGTCCCTTTAATAACTAGTTTGTAGAAGTCTACATCCTGCCAGTGGGAAAAACAAAAAAACAACAAACCAAGAAGTGTTGAGAAAAACCCTAACACAGTTAAATGTCAATCAAGTTTACACAAGTTCACAGTGTTCTCTTTATTGGGTGAGAAAGTAGCTCAGGGCAAAATTAGCAGCTGGTTAAAGGTTTCCACCTTTAATTTCAGAGATCATTGTGTTCCGCTTAAGTTTTCTCCTCACGCCACAGTTCAAACAAGTTAAAAGTGTAATAAGATGGTAACTGGATGTCAACCAGATGGGGAAAAGAACTTGAACGTTTTGACTCTTTTAGAGTTTGGAGGTTGGATTCAAAAGATGAATGAGAACAAGAGAAATCAGCTAGTATTCACAATGATCCATGAAGCTCATAAAATAATATGCACAACGACTGCCTGCAGTATGAAGGTGAGCAGCAGCCTCACCTCTCTGTCCAGTGTGGGCTCTTTGACATACAGTTTTCCTGAATATTTGTCGATATAGAACATGTGTCCCGTGCCAGCTGGCTCCTGACTGACGATGCTGTAAGAGATATTTGAATTGATTGTCCCAGCTTGGTCCTTATCTTTGGCTGAGATCTGCATAATGAAGGTTCCTGCAGAGGATCACAAAAAGGAAGACAATTCAATGGACTCCATCCAGTCAGTTTTCAGAGGACCTGTTCATACATGGCAGCAAATCCAGATCCAATGAGACCGACAACAATCATAACATATATGATTATCTGTCAGGGGATATTTACATCTCATTGGGTTTTAAGACTTTGTGTTTAGACTTTTGTGTTTAGACGCTTATAAACCGGTCAGGCAAAACGTTTTTTTCTAGATTTATTTTGGATTTATGACAGTGGATAGAGTTGGAAATCAGGAAGACATGGGAATGACATGCGGGAAAGAAGCCATAGGTGGGATTTGGTCCCTGGCTGCCTGCTTGGAGTACTAGCCTCCATACATGGCGCATGCACAATAACCACTGCGCCACCAGTGCCCCAGGCAAAATGGTTTTTAATAGTTAGGAGATTAAAGTGAATGATGAATGTTAAAAAAGCACAGCTATCGAGTTAATGCCTCACCTGACCTACAAAAGCAAACCAGACAATCAGCTACAGGATCATTTACAACCAGAGAGACAGTAATACAAATGTTCCCACCAAAGATACACATGTAGAAGGATTAATGAAGTAGGAGGACATTTTACTGGTTACTGGAGATGCACCGATTGAGAGAAAGTGAGAACCCATACTGATGCTTGAAATAACAATTTAGCTGATTCTGATACAGATGTTTGTTTCATGACTTCCTCTGGTGTAAGCCTCCCGCAAAGACAACATTTTCTCTCATGTTTGACGTCAGCATTGAATTGATTTGGCATAAAAAAATGTTTTATTTCATGTCACATTATTTGTTGATGTCTGTCAAGAGGGCCGATATCAGCCGATGCATCTGTGCATCCCTAGAGGTTATGTTAAAAGATGAGATGTAAAGCTTTAGCAGAAGGGGCCAAAATAATCGTACAGAAAATGAAATGTCCTCACGGCTGCTTTAAATAAAGTTTAAAAAACTTAAAATGTATTTTTTAACAATATTGAAATTAGATACCAAAACTGTTCAAAAGGTCATTAGTGTTTCTCTATAAGATTACATATTCATTTATAAATAACTAACAACTTGTTTCTCATTTTTTAAAGACAAAGTAAAAAGAACATTGTGTTGCAGTTTTTGAGGTGGGTCCTCCTGACATAGTGCATTAAGTAAAGAGGGGACGGGGAGGTGGAGATTAAACTCTCTCTTTTTAAATGTCGGCGGTTGTTTCTTTTTTCAGGAAATTTAAGACGCCCTTAAACATGCTCACATATGGCCCATCCCTTTACGAGTGCATGCTTCATCCTGCCTTAGTTGTCTGCTATGTGTGTGTGTGTGTGTGTGTGTGTGTGTGTGTGTGTGTGTGTGTGTGTGTGTGTGTGTGTGTGTGTGTGTGTGTGTGTGTGTGTGTGTGTGTGTTCTTATAGAAACAACACACAGACAGCCTTAAAGATGTTGGCGTCTAGATATTTTGGAAACACAGCAAATAGTAAGAATATGTCTGAGAAAATGGACTCAAGAGTCACATGCATGGGGTGCCAGGTAACCCAGCGTCCCATGTACGGAGGCTACAGTCCTCATCACAGTGGGTGTGGGTTCGAATCCGACCTCAACCCTTTGCTGCACGTCACGCTCCCACTCTCTGCTCCCAACATTACGTGTCTCTCTTCAGCTGTCTTAAAATTAAAATTAAAATTAAAATGACTCTTAAAAAAACATAGTCACATGCGTAAACCGCCACTCACCTTGATTGTGAGGTTTTATTTTCAGATTGAAATATCTGATCACAGTGCCTCTAGTCTCCAGTTTTATAAAATCAGATTTTGTGAAATTATAAAGTCTTTTATATTGATTTTGTGAAATGATTTTCATCATCTCAACTGGGGATGTGATATCGTCTGACTGACAGTGCCTCGCATAAACAAACAACACACCAACTGTCAACCACAGTTTGCCAAACTGTGACTAGTTCTTGGGAATGTTTGCAGTTTACATTTCTCAAGCGAGCCTTGAACCAAAGCAGGAGAATAAAAAGAGTCTAAATGTTGATGGTAGAGGAGTCAACATGTCAGATCCATCACTCACAGTCACATGGCTGATTAAGATCACGCTTGTTTCAAGCCTTACCTTTGCTGCTCGACTCCGAGACGTTGCCAGCATACAGCTCAAATGTAGGCGGGTTGTCATTCTCGTCCACGACTATGACAGTCAGAGGGATGTCTGCTTCTGCTGTGGTCCCATTTGTGAATTTAGCGACTCCAGTTAGCTGCATCATTGACATGAAAAGATGCTCGTTAGACATTTCACTCGTGATCTGTTATGTGAAGGAAACAAAGTCTCAAATGCATACTTTAAGATTTTTAAAAAGCATCGACAGTTTCCCCTTTCTAGAGTTTCTATTTTCTCCATGTGCATCTTTCCATACTTTTATTTATCCATTCATGTTTCTTGACAAAGTAAACACCTTAATCCAAAACTTAACAACAATATTTCTGAAGTGGATTAAGGCTGTTTTATATATACTTGAAGGCTTATTCTTTTCTTTAAAGGTTTAATGTTGGTTGCTCCTTCCATGCTTGTTTACAGCTTCACTCTTATTTTCTTATTAATTTCCTTTTTTATGGCATTTTTTTCCCCACGCATGCTATAATCTAAGGTCTATAATGGGTGTTTTATTTAAAGATTTTATCAATTCTATCTTTGTTACAGCCTTCATTTTGCCGAGAGAAACATATATAATCACATGAGCTGCTGTAGTTATATGTTTAAACCATAAAAAGATCTAATCACATTATGCTGTGTGTCATTTTCAAATTACTGTCACCAAACTTAAAGAGCCATCTGAACGACATGGACGCCTAGACACACCTTAGAGACAAGCTGTGCTTTTTAAGGTTTAAAAATTATAATGAGGGGACGCCTGGCAGTGAATAATAAAGCAATGAAAAAAGCCTGATCCATATGTCAGTGTATACCATTTACAGCTGAAATGACTTAAAGAAAGACTTACATGGTAGGATGGGCATTTCTCCCGGTCCAGAACCCCAGTGATTTTTACAAAGCCAGTTTTTTGATCCACCACAAAGAGGTTGAAGGGTGGCCTGTCAGCTCCTTTTCCAGAGAGGTAATACTCCACCGGGTCGGTTAGGCTTTTATCAGAACGAATCTGACAACAAAACACAGAAAGCGACGTAAAGGGTCTGTTAAAACCATCTACCAAACCAACAATATTGTATTTTTCTTTATACATACCAATAATACCAAAATAATACATTATGATTACCGGTAAAAGGCATAATTTGATCCACAACTATAAGGGCTGGAGTGAAAAACTGGGACTTTAGGGAGTTGAAAGGTAATTTACAAAGGGATAGGAAGTTGTCTTATTAGACCAAATGCTTCACAAATTATTGATTCAAAAATGTCATTAACTAGACCAATTGTTCACAACCTTTTTCCTTAAGCCCCCCTTACTATCTAGAAAAAGCCGAGCCCTCACATGCCCCCCACAAACACAGTGACACACTGCTGTCAAAAAAAACTCAAATATAAAGGTCATATATTATGCAAAAAAAACAAACAATTGGGCATGGAACGAAAAAACCAGAGCCACCCGAGCCCTTCCAGAGAGGGACGTGATCAGACACAGCTCATTTACATTTAAAGCTACAGACACAGAAACAGTCTGTTCTGAGCAGGGCTGAAATAGAGGAGTTTATAGACATGATCAAATACAGGATCAGAGTGGATTTAGAACGAGAAACTTCACACACATGTTTTGGGGAGCTCTGAGACTTATTTGGACTGGTTGACGAAGAGGACAATATGTGACCTAAGGTTTTCACTAGAACCTGAATTACAAGTGTGGCTGACACATATTTTAGAGTTTTATCAACAGTTCTTTCACTAATTAATCCAGTTATTAGTATATGATTGTGTTCAAATCTAATTTTGACAACCTCCGAGCAGACACAGCTACATCACCCGAGATATTTTTGACCCCTGGACTAGGATCCCTTTATGCTCCCTTTAAGGAATTACTAAAAGCAAAAAGATCACAAATTAATGAGCTGGTGTCATTCGGTGATCTCATCAGGATGTTAAATGACTTTGAGACACATCTAGCTGCAGATGTCCTGTAAAGATAAATAAGGTGCTAGAGGTCTTAAAAAAAAACTCAAAATTGAGCTTGTCCAAAAAAAATGGTTTAAAGAATATTTACGGTACTCTGTGTTCTGTCCTCACTTATTATTCCAGCAGGTAAAGAAGAAAAAAAACATGAGCTGGTTGTAACCAGTATTTTGTTCTCTATAGGTAAAGCAACACTCCTCTTGGAGTGTAAATCAACTTTTGGCCCAGGGCTACGTCCCCCATAGTTTCACGGTGCAGCTTTTGAAAAGGCTGAGCCAGTCTCTATAAACATGTGGATACAGGTTTTCACGGCAGGGATGGTGGCAGAGCAGACAGTGATGTGACAGAAACGAGGTCGTTGTTCAGTGTTTGTTTTAACTTGAAAGCTCATCCATCCGAGCACTTTGCCATTATTTCAAACACATCAAGACACCTCTGCTTTATGCAAATTGTGGGAAATATCATAAGCAGAAACCAAATGACCTTGGCAATGAACTCCCTGTTCATGTAGTCAGTGTTCTCCCTCAGCTTGGCCGGAGGCATGATCCACTCTCTCTTCTGCCTTCTTAGATACTTCCTCTGTCTGGCTTCAGCGCTGAACATCTGAAACAAAGAAGCAGATTACATTTAAACTTGAGTGAGCTGCACAGTTTGCTGGACCATGCAGGGTATGTAATCTCTGTGTATTTTAGAGGCATTTGCCAGTTTTTCTTTGGACAACATTTTTCAAACTGATACAAAGCTTCTGGAAATAAAGGAAAACAAATGAGCTTTTTGATTAACTTTAGAAGAAATACAGATTATGACATATGAATGAACAATTGGAGTGGAGTTTAAAGGAGCAATATGCAACTCTGACCCCTGGTGTTTAAAATGGGTACTGCAGTCCAAATTCAAGACATTTGAGAGAGCTGTCCCCCCTCCCCCCCCTCGATGTGCGGGCAGGTTGCCATGTCGTGGTCACTGAAGCTTCAGTGTTTAGCCAGCTCTGCATCGGTCTGTAAACCTTTCTGACTTCTAACCTCTCTCTGTTTTTCAAAAGCCTTTCCAATATTGATCCTAGTTTGAGCATGTTTCTGCTCGTGGAGCTTTTCAGATACATGCAGAGGCTTTTTAAGTCGGGTACAATCTTCCCTCACTGCAACACCTGTTGGTTTGCCGTTTGCCTGGCATCTACAGCGTTCAGAACGGCCGTGTGTGTGTTTTTTGGGGGGGCTTAAACAGCCTATCCTTCTATGATCATACCTATAAATGTGTTCTGTCACTTCTTGTATAACTTTTGTATGACTGTATAATTTTTTAAATCGCATCATTCCAATATAATTAGTTAATATCACACTATAAGTAGTTTTATTATGTCAGCGTTGAGGGGTGAAAGATGGATGAAGGCAACATTATGGAGGAGTGTGGTTTTGTGTGCTTTGGCGCCCACCAAAGGTTTCTGAATGCAACTGCACTGTCATAAAACAATGTGCATTTGTTAACAAGCAGAGGGTGATGTTAGAAACCGAAGAAGACTCACGTTGACTGACAAGGATCAGTAATATTTTATTGGATTTTATGCAAATATGACTCTGCCAGAATCTACAGCCTGATGTACATAACGCTATGTCACAATCTGTTCTGAAAAAAATCTGCAGGGATGTACACTCTGCTTCTCGCTCCGTCACTCTCTCTTTTTCTCTTCTTAGCTTCATCCATTGTGGCCGTCATTGGCCTCTTCTGTCTCTTAGCCTCAGCCATAAGCACGTCTCACGAGATAACCATGGCCTGCTGCCAATGGTGACCGGGGCGATCTGTGGGACATGGGATAGACGTCATATCCCCCTGTTGAAAGTTTTTGTACCTCTAAATCGACTTTGAAAGGACTATTTTAATGTGGAAAATTAACATATTGTTGCTTTAAATAAAGTGTAATATCATATAAACTTATAGAGAAATGGGTTTGCTCTGTAAGGTTAAGTCTGAGGTGTGGTCCTCATCACCAACAGGAAGCATACCAAGAATAATGTTTGGCATTCAGCACCTGTGATGATAAAACAAGGCTCCTCTGCCAGCATTTGATAAGATGGTAATGCATCTGTGATTTTAACACTGGGAGCTGAGCCCAAGCTTATCATAATTGTGAAGTGATTTTTGGGTGTGTGGTGACAGTGTTCTTTGTCGTGCATGTGTTTGGCACGCACGCGTGGTTATCGTGTCGGTAGGTGTGGTAGTTGTTTGTTGAAGCTGCTGCTGCTGTCATGTTCAACACGAGTAATTTGACGGCAGTAAAATGGTGCAATCAGTGGAAAACTGCCATGCACAATGTCTCCAGCCAGGCAGTAAATGTCCAGTTAGCTCCATCACTTAACACTCCAAAGGTGTGGTGTTCAGAGTTTGGAATTTGATGTGGGTTTTATTTTCCCCATAAAAAAAGAAGTGGCAGTTGGGGCACTGGTGGCGTGCAGTGGTTGGAGGCTGTAGTCTTCCAAGCGGGCGGCCCGGGTTTGAATCCAGCCTGTGGCTCCTTTCCTGCATGTCATTCCCCACTGTCTCTCTCCCTGATTTCCGACTCCATCCACTGTCTTGTCTCTCAATTAAAAAGCACAAAAATCTCAAAAAGAAAAAAAAAACCCGCCCTGGGCTTCTAGGCGGGTCATGGAAACTTGGAGGGAAGTGGGAGGAAACTGGAATAAAATTAACTTAATAATATTCATACCATTTTGTTATTGATCGCTGAATATCCAAACGTCTGTCCTTTGAATTGACAGTCTCTCAACATTGTAAAATAACAAACGACAATCTTTAAATCTTTAAGACAAACTGTGTGACTGTTACTTTGACAGTTCATTATTGTCGGCCAGAATTTACTAAAGACTGTTGGATGAAATGAATGAAAAATTTGATTTTTCACTCTTAATTAAATAAGGAAGTATTTTAAGAATCTGTTTATTTAATTTTTAATATTTGCTATATAGGGGTCCTCACTAGTAGCTTGTTGCTTTATGGGGATCCTAGGCGTGGCAAAGTTTGGGAACTGCTGAGTCAGATAATCAGAGGGAGATGGAGGCAGCAGATAAACAATTAAAGCTTACTGTAAAGTCATGAGAGGCCGCTTACAGAGACTCTGTACTGGCCGGCTTATAGAACAGTGTTTCCCCCTGAATAGTTTAATGAGAGACTTGAATAAGTCATAAGGACAGAAACTAAAATCTAAATGGGTGGGGGGTTGTTAATTATGCAGTCATACACCAAACAACAACGTCACCAGCCTCTATGATGTACAGGTCATTTTACTTGACTTTCATCAAAGTTCACTGTTTTATATATTCTACCGAGTGGAAACCTTTAGACCCCTGGACCTGTTTACTATCTACGGAAGAGGATTAGAGCCAATGAGAAAAACAATTTTGGTATTGACTTTTTTTTTAGGATTCTGACTTTTCTCTCAGAATTCTGGCTCCAAAAAAAAAGTCCGAATTTTTAGAAAAAAATTAGAATTCTGAGATTAAAGTCAGAACCAAAAAAAAAAGTTTTTCAGTGGCCATAATCCTCTTCCGTAACTATCAGTTCACAAGTTAGACAGCAAAGATTTTCATCTAAGTCTGATTTTAAAATGTCAGAATACTGATTGACATGATTTCTGCATCACAATCTGTTTCTCAATCAAACTGCACCAGCAGAGGTAAAACAGCTGTTTGTAATTTCCTGCATGTTTCATATTCTCAGGGTAATATATCTCCACATGTCGCTTTCTGCAGCTACAAAAACGTTCAGCCTGTGATCAATGTCTTTAAAATTCAATCTTAATTTCTCACATTTTGGAATTTACGTTCAACTAAATCTTTTTTTGTTTATTTCAAATTGTAACCTGTTTTGCTTTTGTGTTGGAAGTATTGTTCAGTATTTGAGGTTCAGGGATGAGGAAGGGTAATTACTACCACTGATGTTTGTCTGTAATTATTCAGTTTAGTCTGTGGGTTTGTTATAAATGCTAATGGAGATGGTTTACTGTAAATATTTATATTCTGGTGATGAGAACATTCATTATATATATATATATATGTGTGTAATTAAATAATGATATATAAGTCATTATATTATATTATACATTATTGTCTAATTAATAACACTTAAATCCAGGAAAGAGGGATGAAATCAGTTTAAAATTCTTCTTCTTCCTTTTTGGGCATTTAAGAGCGAATGAAGGACTTTGACTTTTCTTTCTTATGTTGTTTATTCTTTTTGTTTTCTACATTTTTTTAACTACAGCTATTATTATAACATGTTTGAAATAAATAAATCACTATTTATTTATTTGAGCCTGTGTCTTTATTCTTCTGTTGCTTTAATAGCGTTGATAACTCGCCGCTATCTATCCATCTATCCATCATGCACACTTTTCAGCCACTTATATAAATCCGACCTGTCTGGACTTGCATATTTATTCAGTCTGAAATAAAAGAGAGGGTACACTCTTTTCCGCAAGCTCCACAAATCTAATCTAAACGGCCAACAGGGTTCCCTGTACACAGCCTGTACGTTCTCATAGGCGCACAGGTACAGGAACATAGCATGAAAAATAAACCTAAAAATCTGTAGCACACTGAAAATAGGATTTTTGATTTATTTTCTAAACATTACATACTTGTACATGTTTAGACTGCAAACTGAGGAAATAGACGGACATGCAGACAACCTTTTTTCAACTGTTACAGCATGCATGTCTGAGTAATAGCACCTACATGACAATGTGTGTGTCAGCAGAGACTCTCTAAAACCAGCATGATGTAGTGCATATGACTGCTGCACACTCTGCAGCATAGAAAGTTAGTCATTACAGCCAAACGCACAAACTGTTCATTGTTTATCATTGCATTCATGCATTCTTTGTATGCATATGTTATTTTATGCAGTAGCTTGTGCTGTAACAGGGTGCTATATATGACGATTCATGATTTACAACTCTGCTTCAGGCTCTGACAAACAATTACATTTGAGCAGCCATGTATCAAACAAATGAGCTTCGTAAATGTGAGTAATTATCTTTGATTTTGTGTTATCGAGGCGTGTTGCAGAATGAATCCCTCTCCTGTAGAAACAGGTTAGCTCATGAACTATAGTATATCTGTCAATGTAAAGAGTATGAGTCCCTTCAGGGTGAATACTCACCAAGGCCAGCATGAGCAGGAGCAGAAGGCCCACTTCTGCGAGGGAGGGCCGAGCCATGAGTGCAGGAGAGCCACAGCATACACCAACCTGTCCAGTCTGAGTGTGTGCATGAAAACCCACTAAATACTCAAGTGGTCTGAACAGGGGAAAAGAAAAGCCTTAAAGAGTTTCAGTTAGAGACACACCTATGTCAGCTTCATCCTCCCTCCCCTTGCATGTACAGTTCAAACCCACCTGTATGTGCAGACCCCTCCTCCCACCCACCCTCCCTCCCTCCCTCCACTTCATGCACTCTATGCACTCATAACTTCAGCTGTCACATGCAGAATGTTTCTCAAAGGTGTGTCTTCTCGCTGCCTTATACTTCTTAAGGTAACAGCAAGGCCTCAGGGTTGAACACTTGATCAGGCTGACAGGGAGAGACAGTAAAAGCACACCCTAAAAAATATATTTTAAACTTTAAATTCCTTCAGACGACTCCTTTTTTTCTCCTGAAAACAAACATTTGATCAATATGTCCATTCAAATGAAAACAAAGGTCTCTGACAGAAGATGTTACAACATGAGTTACTCATGTTTTTAATCAAGTGTCTTTGTCATTTACAGAAAAGGTTCCCAGACTTGTCTGCGTGCGACCCCGCTGACCCTGGAGGTGGTTTAAGCATTATAACATAACACAGAGACAAGTACATGCACTTATAGGCTTACCTAAACACTGGCAGCACAAAACAACAACAGGAGAGAATACAAGTGATTTTATATAATAATTTATTGTAAGACAAGCTACATTGTACATTACTGCTGTCATGTGGACACACATTCATTTTATTTTTTATTGTACTTAATAGTGTGGTTTCCTTTGAATTTGAACAGCTCTCCTGTGTATATTTTGAACATAATGTGAAAAATATAAAAAATTTAATTAGTGTTTGGAAGGCAATACCTGATTGGTTGGTTTGGCCAAATACAATATGGAGACCAGCAAGAGAGGTTGTCAGTTTTCTTATCAGTTGACTGTCACTTAACTGTACACAGCCTACTTGTAGCCGTGTTGGCATAGCTTGTTGAGCGGTAGACTCAGTCGGTCTGGGAGATTGGAATTTTATATACTGTTGATTTATATTTTATATCATAGTTGCATCCAGTTTGGTTGTTTGGTAGCTACTATAACCAAGTGGTTTAGCTTGTTGTGTGTTGGTGTTAGCATCAGTAGCTAGCATTAGCTAACGAGCTACCTGGAGTTAGCTAACGTTAGCGTCAGCTCCACTTTTTCTCGTGTCCTATTTCCCTTCTGGTGCACAATGTTACATGGCAGAAAGAGAAATTAAATAAACTACATAATTATAAACGTTATACATTGATTACTTTAGTTTACTTTACCTTTAGATTAACTTCAATCGTTGGTGACCAACCAACATTTCTGACTGCCCCCCCCACCCCCCTTCCCCATTCAAAGCAGTCTAAAATTAAATTTGACTTGACTTTGAGAAAACCATTCATCAAAGTTCACTGTTTTATATATTCTAGCCAAATGGAAACCTTTAGACCCCTGGACCTGTTTACTATCTATGGAAGAGGATTAGAGCCCATGAAAAAAAAAAATTGGTATTGACTTTCTTTTTAGGATTCTGACTTTTTTCTCAGAATTCTGGCTCCGAAAAAAGTCAGAATTTTGAGAAAAAAGTCAGAATTCCAGATTTAATCTCAGAATTCTGAGATTAAAGTCAGAACTAAAAAAAAAAAGTCAGAACCAAAAAAATAATAATTTCAGTGGCCATAATCCTCTTCCGTAACTATCAGTTCACAAGTTAGACAACAAAGAGTTTCATCTAAATCTGATTTTAAAATGTCAGAATACTGATTGACGTGATTTCTGCATCACAATCTGTTTCTCAATCAAACTGCACCAGCAGAGGTAAAACAGCTGTTTGTAATTTCCTGCATGTTTCATATTCTCAGGGTAATATATCTCCACATGTCGCTTTCTGCAGCTACAAAAACGTTCAGCCTGTGATCAATGTCTTTCAAATTCAATCTTAATTTCTCACATTTTGGAATTTACGTTCAACTAAATCTTTTTTTGTTTATTTCAAATTGTAACCTGTTCTGCTGTTCTACCACCCTCCCTCCACTTCATGTATGCACTCATAACTTCAGCTATCACATGCAGAATGTTTCTCAAAGGTGTGTCTTCTCGCTGCCTTATACCTCTTAAGGTAACAGCAAGGCCTCAGGGTTGAACACTTGATCAGGCTGACAGGGAGAGACAGTAAAAGCACACTCTAAAAAATATATTTTAAACTTTAAATTCCTTCAGACGACTCCTTTTTTTCTCCTGAAAACAAACATTTGATCAATATGTCCATTCAAATGAAAACAAAGGTCTCTGACAGAAGATGTTACAACATGAGTTACTCATGTTTTTAATCAAGTGTCTTTGTCATTTACAGAAAAGGATCCCAGACTTGTCTGCGTGCGACCCCGCTGACCCTGGAGGTGGTTTAAGCATTATAACATAACACAGAGACAAGTACATGCACTTATAGGCTTACCTAAACACTGGCAGCACAAAACAACAACAGGAGAGAATACAAGTGATTTTATATAATAATTTATTGTAAGACAAGCTACATTGTACATTACTGCTGTCATGTGGACACACATTCATTTTATTTTTATTGTACTTAATGGTGTGGTTTCCTTTGAATTTGAACAGCTCTCTTGTGTGTGTATATATATATATATATATATATATATATATATATATATATACACTAATTAGTGTTTGGAAGGCAATGCCCCCCCCAATTGCTCAGCCTCCTTTCACCACAATTTTCAGAAATAACAGTTTTGTATTTTTTCGTCATTGATTCATCAAATCAGAAAATGCCACTCCCAAATAATATGTTTTACTAATACCTGATTGGTTGGTTTGGCCAAATACAATATGGAGACCAGCAAGAGAGGTTGTCAGTTTTCTTATCAGTTGACTGTCACTTAACTGTACACAGCCTACTTGTAGCCGTGTTGGCATAGCTTGTTGAGCGGTAGACTCAGTCGGTCTGGGAGATTGGAATTTTATATACTGTTGATTTATATTTTATATCATAGTTGCATCCAGTTTTGTTGTTTGTCAGCTACTATAACCAAGTGGTTTAGCTTGTTGTGTGTTGGTGTTAGCATCAGTAGCTAGCATTAGCTAACGAGCTACCTGGAGTTAGCTAACATTAGCGTCAGCTCCACTTTTTCTTGTGTCCTATTTCCCTTCTGGTGCACAATGTTACATGGCAGAAAGAGAAATTAAATAAACTTAGAGCTTTCACCTCACAGCAAGAAGGTTCCTGGTTGGAATCCCCGTCGGACAGGGCCTTTCTTTGTAGAGTTGGCATCTTCTCCCAGTGCCTGTGCGGGTTCCCTTTGGGTACTCCGGCTTCCTCCCACAGTCAAAGACATGCTCATTAGGTTAATTTGTGATTCTATATTGCCCGTATGAATGTGAGTGTAGCTGGTTGTCTGTCTCTATATGTTAGCACTGTGATTGACTAGTGAACAGTCCAGGGTGATAGCTGCCCCTCGCCCAATGACAGCTGGGATCGACTCCAGCCCCCTGCGAGCCTCAACGGTAAAGGTGATATAGATAGGATGGATTACCTAAATTGTATATGTACCAGTCAGAAATATGGCCTTACATACTGTGTCTGCAACTGACATTCACTGTTGAACTTTTTCATCTTGGCATGTTCACAGCTTTTCAGTCTTAACTCGCTGACAGGTTAACATATAAATCCTAATCTTCTCTTGTATCCATCCATCCATCCATCTTCTTCCCCTTATCTGAGGACGGGTTGCGGTAGCAGCAGGTGAAGTAGGACAACCCAGACTTCTCTTGCCCCAACAACGTTTTTCAGCTCCTCCTGGGGGATTCCTGAGGTGTTACCAGGCCAGATGGGAACAAAATCCCTCTAGCGAACTTTGGGTCTCCTCCCAGTTGGGTGTGCCTGGAAAACCTCCAAAGGGAGGCGTCCAGGTGGCATCCTAATCAGATGTTGAACCACCATAACTATCATAACTACCATAACGTTACTCTATACTTGTATATGTGTAATGACAATAAAGTTGAATCTCATCTCATCTCAACTCACCCTATCTCTTAGCTAGTGCCAGACACAGAGGGAGGAAAATAATTTTGTCTGCGTGTATCCGCGTTCTTCTTCTTTCGGTCACTATCATGAAAAAAATTAATAAAATACTGTACATAAGAAATTTAAATCTGAGAAGAACCTTTATTTATGAAATGAGCACTTTGCAGCATCATGGTGCAAATCAGGAGACTAAGGCTTTAAAAACCCAGTCGACATATAACGTACAACATAAATAACTTCATAATTAACAGACTGAAGAGATTTGTGCTGCAGTCCCCCATGCAGGTTCAGCGCTCCATAGTCACTAACCAGTATAATGTTTTGATATTTCCTTGTCTTTATTTTTTACAGTGCATGATAATGAATTAATGCACATACTTCTCTATGATTTATTTGCCTCTGCACATTTTCATTGGTAATTCTAATTGACATGTCTGACAGTTTTATGAGAAGCTGCTTGGCATGGACCACCAGTTAGACCTGTCATTCGTGGACCCGTGCAACATCAAGACCAGGTGAGTTAAATTCAAGTGGCACTTCACAGACAAAGTCAAGGCCAAAGCTCAGCTCTTTAGAGGGATTGACATGTCAGCTCACAAAACCATGAACTGCTCCACCTACTAGTCACAAACAAACAAAACGAAAAAACATGGAGATCAGTATATGAGTTCTTCCTGATTAACTTCAGAAGAAACACAGATTCTGAAAGATATGAATGAACAATGGGGGTATAGTTTAAATTAGCAATATGTTACACTGACACCTAGTGTTTAAAATGGGTACTGCAGTCCAAACTCAAAACATTGGAGAGAGCTGTCTCCCCCCGCCCCCTCCTCCACAGAGTCGATGTGCACGCAGGACTCAACTCAACTTTCACTTTATTTGTCCCCAATGGCTGATTCATTTTGTCCCTAT